GTAGACAATCGAGCTGTAGGCAATAATGTATATAGGCAATCGATCTGTAGGTAATACATGTAAACAAATGTAATATTTCGTCTCTGAAAATTTTGTGCGCGCAAAAGTGCTTGTAGGCAATAATACATGTAGGCAATAGTACATGTAGGCAAAAGTAACTCCGTTTCTAAAATTTTTATTTGTGTGCAAAAGCGCATGTAGGCAATCGAGCTGTAGGCAATCGAGCTGTAGGCAATCGAGCTCTAGGCAATAGTACATGTAGGCAAAAGTAACTCCGTTTCTAAAATTTTTATTTGTGTGCAAAAGCGCATGTAGGTAATCGGGCTGTAGGCAATCGAACTGTAGGCAAAAGTAACCCCGTTTCTAAAATTTTTATTTGTGCGCAAAAGGGCATGTAGGCAATCGAGCTGTAGGCAATAATACATGTAGGCAATCGAACTGTAGGCAAAAATGATGTAGGCAAAAGGTACTGTAGGCAATCGATTTGTAGGCAAACGGGATCCCCCCAATTTTTTTAACATATTTTGGGACGCCGAGTTCGAATCAGAAAAATTCCATCAACATTTTCGATTTGTTTTCTAATAAAATTTGTTTTCAATCAAACTTCACTATTATATTGGAAAAAGTCTTTCTTTTTATAATTAGATATATTTTTCTTATATCTCAAAATCCTAGAAACATTTTGATGGTAGATTATAGCTCGTAGAAAATTATCGTAGAAATAATCTTCATATTCTCTTGCATGAAACTTTGTAAACCAATGTAATCGACACACAGTTCGCATAAATAGAAAATTCACGCAAAAATATTAAGCACCAAGATCCGCTTTGACCGAATATGGTTTCACTTCTTCGCTTATTTGTGTTATTAATTTTTTGTTTCAAACATGAAAAAAAGGATTAGATATTAAGAATAATGGAGGACCACACTACCGTGTCCAGAATACACAGGAGGTGGAGGAAGTTGATACACGAAGAAATTCACGAGCCGAGAACAATCGGCGACGTCGGTACTCGGTATCATATTGTGTCGATTAACGAAGGAACGGAGGTGTCTTCATGAAGGAACTACACTGTTTTATAAATATCGCCAATGCTCTCTTGTATTATTAATATACGCGACAATATTCGACAATAGGATAAGTATTACGTGTACAGAATTATATTATGTGATATTATGTGATACGTTTACTTATACTCTAATTACACGTCTACATTATATTTTCTAAATCTTACAAATAATTTTACAAATAAAACGACATTCCTCGTTTTTGTATACATATTTTTTTCCGCACGGAACGTCAGATCGCCGACAAAAAGGCACATGATTTATAGAATATGATTATAGAATATTAAGTTTTTAGACGCAATGCGTCTCCAGTCAAAAACATAGAGGTATAAAGTCGTAAATGATTATTTATACGCTATAACATGATTAACTCTGGCAGTTTTCCGTTCCAAATGGAAGTCAGACTTGTCCAGTGAACATAAATGTGTCTTGATTCTCTAAGCATCTTGCAAAATGCAATCTTGTTCATATGGAAGAAATGCGCTCGTCCATCAAACGAGTAAGGAACATGGATATCAAAAAGAAAAACATCAGTCGTCCTTCCGCTACATAAAGCTCTCTCGTTCTGTCGCTATCGTGTTAAATATCCTGCTGCAACATTGACGAAGCTATCCTCAGCATGCCTGCGACAGAAAGTGAAAACAATTCAACTGATTAGCTCTGGCAGAGAAATAAAAGAGAAAAAATATATTTTACATAACGGGAACAAGAGAGATTGTTTGGAATAAAATCAACAAAGCTTCAAACAAATAATTTATCCTATTTTTTTCTACCAATTCTAGATTTCTTCTTTCGAATGTTTTTAAAATGTCTTGTATCACGATTTTAGATTTTGTGTTGATCTGAGAAAGCAGGATCTGAGACCGAAAAGACTGAGTCATGCCTTGGCGCTGAAATCGGTATCGAAACCACTCTTCCTTTGCATTTGCGCCTGGAGGTCGGCTAGCTGGGCGATCGACATGTCGATGTCACCACTACTGATGTGCGCTGTGTGTCTGAAATTCGTGGGCACGCCGATCATACTTCGGTCTATCCTGAGCCTCTGATGCGGCCTACCACTGTTCCGCCTGTTGTTCCTCGTTGGCCGTGGAGTCAGGCAGCACGTAAAACATTGCACCCAGAGCTCGTTGTTGCCAGCCATCTCTCGCACGTATCCACACGTATCCCTGCAGAAATGTCAAAAGTGAGGTAAACATCTCCACTGATCGGACTTATGTTCAGAAACATACATCCGTATTCATAAGCTTTATATTTAAGATTTCTTTAAATTTATCTCAGATGCTCTACGTATTTTATTGATTAAGTACATAGCATCTAAAAACGATGAACTTAAGCAAACTCTAAATAAAAAAAAAAAGCATAACTATGAATAGGACATGATACAATTTATTATAATAATAAAAAATTATATTATAATTTAATTGTATTTAAAGATTTTAATTAAATTACAATGTTATATTTAAAAAAGCATTTGAGAGATTATTAATAATAATATAAATAAATAAAATTGTTCGCAGATTCTCATTAACGTCTAATTATTAATATTCTTATGAAGAAGACTTATTAACATCAAAAATTATTAAATTGCTTGTCAATTTAATAAAAGATATTACAACTCTAATTTTACTCATGAAAAAGATTTCGGCACGGAGATTGCAGAATTAGATACAAATTCATGTACACAGAGAAATATTTAAGCACTAAGATCCACTTTGACTAAATACAGGAATTTCTCTTATTTAATTAAAATAAACAAATAAAGTTTTGTAAATGTCCGGACACAAGTACATATTTGGTCACTGAAATTTGGAAAGTTACTTTTCAAGTTACTCATAAGAGTCATAAGTTACTTTTTATTATAGAAATTGAAAACAATAAAAGTTCAGGTATTCTATTTTTATATTATATTTTATCATTTGCTCCAATTTTGTATTACTTTTGTGCTCCATTTCTATAACAAACGCATATAAGGTAACCTAAAAAATAACTTGTAATGTAACTAACTTACAAAGTAGCTTTCCCAATCTTACTGGATCGTTTATCGTGTATCAAGATGTTTACTTTTACAATCTCCTGATAACCCAGAAGAAGGAAGTTTGAAGGCTTCTCTGGTCGATTCAATTCAGGACGAGCAGCTCGACGTGGATGAAGTCTGCGACTCGCGGAGCAGAATCAGCGGATTCACAGCGTTCCAGGTTAATCTTCGCGGCGTAGAGGTTAAGTTGACGGACGACGGTTGCGACCGGTCTCAACGGCCGACGAGTCGAACAAAACAAACATTTCCGTGGATCGCGCGGCTCGTGATTGCGAAGGACATTGCTTGATTGTTCACTGCAAGCGTAAACACTGGAAGAAGGTAAGGGTATCGGAAGATATCCAGGCGGCTGCTGCGGTGATGGAAACAAAGGCAAACCTGACAAACTCGGTCGGCTCACGATGTTGACAGGAGCGCTGTCAGACGCGCGGCCCGTGGCGGCCCGTTTCACACGATCGCTTCTTCACTATTCTTCGCGATTCGCCACACGGATCCTTTTACGTCCGTTCTTTGTAGCTGCACTATGTTATACTTTCTGCTTAAGGAAGTTCTCCAATCTTTTTCCTAAATAAGAATTTTAATATTGAGGAGCTTATTCTCAAATATAATATAATATTATTAAAAATATATATACAATATAATATAAAATAATATAAAATGTATATATATGTATATCTAGTATAATATAAAAT